TTTTTTTTTTTTTCACTTGGAAATCCCTCTCATAGACTTTATTATTGCTTAGAGCATTGCTTCTGATACCCTGTATCCTGTAAGTCTCCTCTACAATATTTACACCTCCCACCCCACCGCAGCTCTTCTCCACAGTATCATTATGACCCCTACCTGTTTCCTTACCTTCTCAGTGTACTTCCTCCTGTATCCACATAGTCATTTCTGCTTCCTTTTTCTAGTGTTCACTCTTCCACTTGACCTTCTTTCTGTAGCCACTTTATCACTAGCTTCTAAAATTACATCAGTTCAACAGTGTCATATCTGTCCCTAGTCTCTGTCTTTTAAGCACTGTTGGAGAAAATCCCATACCTTTGCCTTTGACTTCATTTCAAGTGAATTTCTAATTGATCTGGCCCTTCTGTGCTGATAATTAGCTTACTTGTGCCATTTTGACTTCCTTGCTCTTCCCCACGCTGGCTGTTGCCAAACTTAGCATCTTCATCAGCACGAGCCCTGCAGCCACCATGGCTGGCTGACTTTGCCTTGAGTTCTGCTGAGAACATGGAATTTATCAGGAGTAATTTCCCTTAACTCTCCTCTCCTCTACTTCACAGTTTATCTGTATCTGACATGTCCTGTTTTTTCTTTCCTTTTAGATGAAAAGAAACCCTTCTATTTTCCAATGGTAACTCCATGCTGTTAATTCCAAACTCTTCTAGGGCGTTGCCCCATCTGCTTCCTTCCTCCCGTGTCTCTTCGGTCTCTGACCCTCCATTTCCCCTTCTCCTCACCTCCGAATAGGTACAGCCAAATTGTTCAGGTTCTCTTACCAATTACTTCCCTCCAGCCTGTTACCTCTCAGAGTGTTTCTTTTACAGCAAACTTGGGGCAAGAGAGGTGGCCTCCTATTCTGGGCAAGTCTCTCCCGCAGGCTGCCACTGACTCTTTTAAGGGCAGATCTGAAGATGTCTTGTTAGCCCTCATTCTTAGTCTTTCTGCAGCATTTGACAGTATTGATCACCCTTTTTGCCAGCAATTTTTTGGTCTCCTTTGAGTTTTGGGATATTATTTTCCTGTTTCTCTCCCCGCCCCCAACACCACCACCCTTAAATCAATATCTGTTTGTCTTCCTCTGCCTGCCCTTCATGATTTTTCCCAAAGCTTTGACTGTGGCCCACTTCTCTCTCTGGCTGATCATTTCCTGAGCATTGTCTGATCCCTGTGGGCATTACCTGGGAGAGGACACATGTCCTTCAGTCCCATGTCTGGCTTGGTAATTGCACCTTGATGCATTTAGTCACCCGGGCTGGGAGTTTGGAATCAGCTGTGCTAACCACTTCTGCCTTTTCCTTAGCCACATTCATCATTAAGTTCTATTAGCTCCCCTTCTGAAACACCCCTTTCTGTCTATGCATTCTCATCACTGCTGCCCCAATTAGGATTTAATGGAGTATTGGAATAGCCTTTAAATTTCCTCCCTGCCATAAGTATCTCCCACCTTAATCTTTTCTCTGTACTGCTACCAGTGTTAGATCCAAGACACGACTGATCAAATCATTCCTGTATTCGGGATCATTCAGTATCTCCATTCAGTTTGCTAACCAGGTCCAGGCTGGGTCCCTCGGCTTGCCGCTCGGGCCCCTCCCGGGCAGACCATGAGCCTCCTGCTCGTGTCCTCCCAGCAGCCCTGCCCGGGATCCTGACTGGTGTTCTGCAAGAGCGCCACGCCCTGCCTCATGCCCGGACCTTAGCACATGCGGTTCTCTCTCCTTTCCTCCTGTCTCTGCTTGGTTTTCTATTTCCGGGCCTGGCTTGCTGGTTATCTTTCTGATGAAGCGTTTGTGACCCATCCAGCAGAAGGCCTTTTCCTTCTCGACTCCTCTGAGACTTTGTTCACAGCCCCCAGTTGCCCTCATATTTTAGACAGCTCTACGTGATTCTCTCTCCTCTGCTGGCTTTTGAGCTCCTGAGAGGCGTCTGTTTCTCGGGTTCTAAAATCTATATAGTAAGTAAGTGCCTAGTAAATATTTACTGAACTAAAAGTTGGGTAATACATCTAGGCTTGTGAATGTTAAGTGAAGAACTAAGGTGTTTAGGAGCCTGTTACTGTTGGCATAGGACACACTAACAGGGCAAAACAAGTTTTCAGCTTTAGCTTTAATGTACAGCAATCTGAGAATTTATTTATTTTTCCTAGAAATACGGCTTTACTAAAATAAGAAAAAGTTAAGTTTCTCTGAGCTTGCATCAATATTATTTTGGTGTTTGAATGAACTGACCACCTCACATAGTGGCTCTCTGACTCAACTTGGGTGTCAACAATGATGTCATCTTACAATTGAGTTCTTGTTGAAAAGCACAGATTAAATTTCCCCAGAAAAAAGAATCTATTAAAAGTTACATAGGAAGATGAAAGAGTATTTTATATAGCATTTTAATTAACCAAAATTGGCTTATTAAATCTTTGGGTCCCTGAAATGCTTAGAGACTACTATAGAAAAAATACTTACATTTCTTTCAAAGCTGATTTTTTTTCACAAACCTTAGCCTTTTTGTGTTCATATGATGCCCATGAAACCTTATCCAGCTATGTTTGTACTAGTGTTATTGGAGAAATAGTATTATGTCAGGAAAGGCAAATACTTTCAGTGCTGTGAAACCACCTTCCTGGATACATGAATCAGTGCACACATTTTGTATGTTAACTTACAAACAATAGAAAAACTAGAAACTCTATTGCAAAGCCATAAGAGACCCAGGAGTATAGAGGCAGCTAAAGACAAACTTATTTCTCTACAATGTTTATTTTTTCCCCCCTTATTTGTGAAAACTTAAAATCCTGGAATTATATGTGAAATAAATACCATATTGCCAAACATGGTTTTTTTCTTTTAATTCTCGATGCCATTAAAAGAAACCACTTTTTAAAGTGCTTTTTGCCTCTGTAGTTAGAACTCAACTCCAGGGTAAATAGTAGACTATTTTTCTTCTTTAAGAGACTTGGGAAAATGGGGAAATACAGAAAAGAACATGCTAGTGTGGCAAAAACATGTGGTAATTTTGTAACATTCTGGGTCATAGGGTCCTTTGGTCCAAGTTATTTGAGCATTAAGATATTGCTTCATTCATTTGTTGGCAAAGACCTTCATCTTTCATTTTTCTTTACAGTTACTATTTTTGATAGCCAATTTGTAGTTTTATTTATTAACCAATGATGCAGTATTTATATCTGTAATTAATTAGACATATTCTATCATGATTAGATAACTGGGCTGTTTAAAAAAGAAACACCTCCAGAATAGCTAAATTTTTAAAGTCACTACCTACATCTGCCAAAACAGATTAGTAGCAGATTTCCAGAACAGAACAAATTGTCTTGATCTCCTTACCTAACTCTTTGTTTTATGTCAAATCTGCTTTCAGAGAACAAGATTTCTTGATGGGAGCTTATATTTTGACATAAAAATTTTGGGCTGCAAGTATAAGGTAATTTTATCCTTATTTTGCAGGCAGAATATTGCTATATTATTAGTTTTATGGTATTCATATAATCAAAATATCATATATTCATGATAAACTTGATTTGGTCTGATCTCATTATAACCCTGTAAACTTACTAGCCATATGAACTTGAATATTTTATTTGAGAAATTAAAATGTCTTAGTTATATAAATAAGTGCTATCTTCTAAAATAATATTTACACCTCAGGTCTTCACTGCCATATCCATTATCATTGCTGAGTGTTTTATTATTTTTGTGTGTGTGTGTTTCAGATGCATTAGGTATTAATTCTTATGGTAATGATAAAAAATAGGCCAAGCAGAATTAAACTTTAATTAGAGTATTTAAGCATGGGTATTCTTATAATAAAATTTCTTTTTAGAATATTCCTGGAAATTCTTTTGGTTTCAGACCAATTGAAAATCATTTTTAAATGTATATATCTCCTTTACAGTAATAAATATTACATTCTTTTTTTTGTAACTTAATATTTCTTTGCTCACTCAGGATCACATCCTGTCTCAGATTATTATTTGTTTGTGTCAGGGTGATCGAGAATGTTCGGTTGATGCTTGAAGAGTGTGGGCTTTCAGCCAGATGACCAGAGTTCAAACTGTAGCTATACCATGTCCTAGTTGCATGATCTTGAGCAAGTAACTTCACTGCTTTTGCCTCAGTTTCCCCATCTGTAAAATGAGTTGTCTGGAGCACCTAATGAATTAATACATGTAGAATGCTTGGAACTACGCCTGGTGTATTCAAAGGACTATCACAGAATAATCAACCTGTTCAGTTATATATTTCACTTAGTAAGAATTCCAGATAGTTTTACCTCAATTAGTCTATTTTTTGAATAATAAAATCAACAGCAATAATGATATTATTTATGGAGTATAAAATGTATTTGCATTTTTACTATAAAAATTAAAAATGCTCATAACTGGCTATTGTGTTTCCTGGTATGTTAGTAACTTTAAGATAGAAATACATTTGGAATGCAAATGAGAGCCAGAGACCCTCAGTACAATCCCATCATGTAAGCATGTGAAGTCAGCCCACACTATTGCTTCTCCAGTGAAAAGGCCTGGAAATACTAGTTATGATCTTGTAAAGTGAATAGATGGTGTAGATTTTAACAATTCTGTCTCTTCCCTAAGTCCACTTCCAATTAAGATTTTTGTTTTAGATGGAAAATGAAAAGAAGTTAGCTTGTTACAAAATACTGATGTCAGAATAATTTGCTAGATCCTTTTATTGATTTCTTATTTCCTTTAACTTTCTTTACACCATATAAAGAAAGCATGGGAACTTGATGATAGGGGAAGTCTAGTAAACATAATGTTGCTCATGTAATTGTAGATTAATGATACCAAAATAAAATAAAATAAAAGAAAGAAAACATGGGGTATGTTCTGTTTCAAGAACTTTGGTATCATATTTTTATCCCCCAGTGCCAAATATTTTGATGTTTTATATATATATATATAACAATAATTATTTGTTGAATGAATTAACTAGCACTACAGAAGGTCCATTCCCAGCCAGATCTTGTCTTCATTTGTTTGCAGAGGTCTGCAGAGCCATTTAGGCAACATAATGAGCAAATTGAGTGGGTGACAAAGGAAATAGTAGGGATTGTGGTAAACTCTATCTGCAGGCTGGATTAAACAGCAGCCAGAGTTTGTGACCTCAGCTGTGTGTAAGGAAAGGCTTCTGCCAGAAGGCTAATGAATATGTACTTCATATCAAAGATAAACATCTTTAAAGTTATTCTGGATTATTTCTGTTTTTCAGTTCAGTGGGTTCATGATTTCCATTAAATAAATATATGTACACACACACATATTTACCCCCTATATACTAATGCATATATAAAATACTTTATCCTGGAAGTTAAACAAAGTTCAACAAAGTTCACTTGACTACTATCTGTTCATTTGTTGTATCTCTGTTTATTGAGAACTGATGGAACTCAAGAGGTGCTTGCAGAAGCAACTTTGTTCTAAATTTACAAGTGTCTGAGGATCAGCTTTGTAATATCTGTTCGTGATAACATGAATAACTGTTCTAATTAAAACAAAAGCAGAAGTTCAAATTCCCAAGAAATCACTGCATGCACGGCCTGCATGTGTGGCATCCTTGCAGCTGGGGAGACCACCTGGCTTTGCCCTCTCTGCCTGCTTGCCAGACTTCAGAAGAAACTGGGAGAAAGCAGCAAGGAAAATGATAGCTCGTTTTAAGCTCTAAGTGCTAGGAGGCAACTGATGTCCTACTTGTTAACTGTGTAGGGGCTTCAAGGCGTTGGCCCAGTTTCACTGGGTTTTCTCACAGTCTTCCCTCTTTGATTCTCCCTCTGAGTTCAGGTATATTTACATTATGTTGCCCTAATTGTTGATATCTCTCCTGTTGTGAAGCCGTGGCATCAACCACCTCTTGCATTGAAACAGTCAACTTGCCAAGCCTTTTCCATTTTTTTTTTTAGCAACTTTTGGCATTAACCTCTTCCTTGAAACTTGCAGCTTGAGAACCCCCCAAACCTTCCCCTTACCATGCTTTGCCTATTCCTTTGCTTGTGCACAATGTTGCTCTTTATTTGATGTTGACATTTCTGTCTTTCCATGTGATGGCTTTATGACAGTGTGGGCTTTTGCCCTTTGTCAGGGACCATAATTTTTGACTCATGTTGTTGATAAATACTTGCTTAGTAAACTGCTGTTGATCAGGTATGAAGTTCACTGGGATTTTAAGCTGAACAAAGATAGTTTGATAGTTTGAATAAATTATTTGCAAAATGGATGGCTTTTTTTACTGATTTCTATACCATCAACAAGATGACCAGTCTAATTTATAAGACCTATTAATAAAATGCTGCAATTAATTTCAAAAATAATAATTGGGGGAGAAGAAAAGGGAATTTGGTAGCAAATCAAGTAAACTTTGTTGTTCTAAGGTTATTTGATTAGAAGAATCGTGCAAAGAAAATTGTTAGAGTGATTTATGTTCCTTCTAAATGCCATTTGCTTCTAAAAAAATAACTGGGAATTTTTCTCTACTTCTCTTTATCTTTTCCTGTCTATTATCAATGCATTCTGAGTACATATACAATCATGCTCCTTTTTTATGCCATCTAATATGATGTAGGAAGAACTTGACTTGTTTACTTTTCTTGAAAGTAAACACTGTTATTATGTTCTGCACAAATGCTTTTAGGTCTTAGGATCAGATTTCAAAGCTAATGTTCTTTGTGTCCCCCTAAATAAAAAGGATTTATAATGATATTCATTAATTCAAACATTCTTAAGGAATTTATTTAAATGACTGCATTAGAAGTATTAACATTCATTTGATAGATATTGAATATATACATTCTTAAAGGATATTTTAATAATCTTCAGTTTAGTTAAAAATGTCATTTAATATTGAATAAAATGCAGTATTGTTACACAAAGGCTTAGAAGTGAGTTTCATATTACATATCAATTTTCAAGCAATACTTAATTTTTAAATCACTATTAGTAAGCCTTTGAAAATAGGAAGTTTTCTAACAATCACTTTATATAATTGAATATCTCATTCTTAGTAAATAATTTGTTCTCCTCATTTTTTTCTTAGTTTATTTCATTTATCCTTTACATAATAGACCCAAAGTGCCTTGTGTTAAAGGAAGAAGCTGCATGATATATGAGAAGTTTTGTATGTGATGGAATTTAATGTCAGTTTATGTCTCTCCCCTGCACAGTCCCTTCAGTCTGAATATGTTCCTTACTAAGGCCCTGCCACTCCGGTGAATGCTGTTCCACTCTTAGACACAATTTCTTCACCTGGACGAGCAATATAGAGAAAGCAACTGCTTGTTGGAAGAAAAGCTCTGCCTTCCTACCTTACATTAAAGAGAGCACTAAAATAAGACCTTCAAGAGACTGGAAACCAGAAATCTCTGTTTAATGACTACTATAAATGCACTGAAACCATGTTCATGGAGATAACACTTTTTAAGACAGTTTTAATGTTGAACTTAGTATTTTGAAAGGTTATTTTTAATGTATTTCAGTAATACATTTGTTATTACATTTACATGTACAGTGTTACTTTATGTATGTATAGTGAACTTTAAAAGACTATTTTGATAAATTTATAAATACATAAAATTATGTAAAAACTAGGCTATATTTTGGCTTAGAAATTCTTGCTGTTTGCTACCAAAAATTTGTATTTTGAATTTTCTTAGTATTGTTTTGTCTACAATGAATAAATCCTCTTTCTTAAGAAAAAAAGGGAGAAAGTTTTTAGAAAGTGATTTTTATGTTCCCACTATCAACATGATAGATCATTTCATTCTCTTGGGAAGTCAGTCTAATGTAACAAGTTTATCTCTAGCAAGAGTGTAATTGTCTGATATAATTTATTTAGAGCATTTCCTTTCCCTCTGTTTTTATTGCTGAGCCATTTAGTTTTGTGTCCTAGGGGGCTTTAATAAAATTTCACATCCAGTTGAAGATCAGAATTCACTGTGTGATTCTCCTGAAAGTGTGGTTTTTCACTGTGAAAATGCCTCAACATTCCAAATGCTTTTATTTCTTTCCTCCTTTATAAAGAGTTCCTAACCCAATTAAAATATTCTGCTTTTGGTCCGAGGCTGTTGTTGTTTGTAATCACACATGGTCTGGCACCAGCTTTAAGTCAATGAAGAGAAAAAACAGAAAAATGTTGCTAAATAGTTCTCTGTGTTAAAGGAGATATGCTTAGAACAGATTACGAGCTCCTAACACACAAGCGAGCATATCAGAAACCTAACAAGGAAATGAAGGGACTCCTTAGAGGTACTCACAGCCCTTTCATGTAAGTGTATTTTTATGTTTAGGCCTCCAGAAGCCTGAGGACTTCATTTCAGTGGGCAGTTGGGGAGCCTTGATTCTGATTGTTTTTCATGCTGCTCAAGAATGGACTACTCAGAGACAGTTAAACGGATTCACATGAAGTGCTTTACTTTCAACCACTGGGTTATTTATAATGTATTTATTAGGAGGGGGTACCTTGAAACTCTTAAAAATGCTTCCGCAAAACATCTTGTTCGTGTTTTACATTTTCAAAAAGGCATTTGAATGAATGTTTGACTCAGGTTTGTTAACTTAATCTTCCATAACTGCAGTACCAAATAATTGCACTAAACTGATAAAAAAGTGAATTGTATGTTTTGGGAATCAAAAATGAAAATAAGTGGAATTAAATTGTATACCTTTTCTAAAGCTGAGATAGTAAAATATTTTATTATGAGTTATTGTAAAAAAAAAGGTTGTATAGGAAGATGATAGTATTTTTAAAAAATTATCAATAAAAAGTAATTCAGATGATATGTGAGAAGTGGGGAAAAGGGAACCATATGGACAGTTTTAGTTCTATGAACACTAATTTGTGTGCAGCTATTAAAATGATCGTAAAATTGACTACTTTAAATTTTCCATAATTGTGTGTGTATATATATTAGTCATATGTATCTACATGTGTATGTCTTAAAATTATTTATACACATGTGCATACATAGACAAACCAAGAAGTGTATGTATATAAGATAGAAATTATATAGCAAAGTAATTCTACTCCAATAATAAAAATTGTTTGACATGTATTTTGTTATGAATAGTTTACCTTCCAAAAGATATTTTGTTCTATTTTAAAGTGTAGAAGAATACACTGCTAATAAATAATAAAAATTTTATGCAATTTACATTTCCCCTGGCTTTTATAATTTGAATTTTGAGTTATCAGTGTACTGAAGTCTCTTTCTAATTTTATATTTGATCCATTCTGATTAGTGCCTTTTGTGCTTCTCAAGCTTTCCATTCCAGATGTCTAGTTTATCTTTTATTTAACTTTTCAGGTTGTGGCCATTTCCTGAAATGCATGCTAATGAGCACAAAGAAATCTTACACTTTGAATTTCACAGTTGTTAGATTATGTCAGACTCTTGCTGTCTTTCTCTATATGAAATTTTCCTTTCTGTTAAATTGGGCAAATTTACACTAAAAGCACACCTTCAGTCAGCTCCAGCCTCTTTACTGGGATTTATTCAAAAATTTAAGAATAAACACGATTATTAACTATAAGCTCTATTCTATACAGTGATCTCTAGGACTTAGTGATTTTGTGTAACTGAAAGGAACACCTAAAACATGTGACAACAGTGTTTTAGGTCCTGCTTGGTCATTTCTGGCTGTTCTATGATACACTGGTCATTATTTCCTTTTGCAAAAGAATGGCCATTTTTCTTGAAGGAGAAATTATAGAAACAAATCAGATGGAACAAACCTTACCACTGTTGGATCTATGCCCTAACCAGCTTGGGAGGAAGACGCTGCAATATTATTGGAGATATTTTATGTGTTAAAGGATGTCTTGGGGTTGTGGTGCTTCTGAGGTTTTTCCCTTCTCTTTTGTCTCTTCAGTTTTTTCAGAACACCTAGGCAAGGTTGTAGGTGAGAAGGTAGTTTCACATCTTGAGTTGGGAATCTGCCAATTAGCTGTTCTCACAACCCTGCATGAGACAGATGGGGTTTTGAGGTTGTCCTGGGACCACATCCTAGAGGAGATTTCTTATGAATTCATGAATCTATCTAGGAGGGCAGAAAAGCTTTTCCTACAGATTAAGATCTTACGAAGAAAATAGTAAAAAAAAAATAAATGTTAACTAGTTTCAACAAATTTCTCACCTACTGGTCATTGAGTTTAGATGATTTTGTTACCTTAGATGTCAAATGACTTACAAATCTCACAACACACCTGGAGAGGCTACCCAAAATATGTACTCAGCTGTGATTCAAGTAACAGCGGGAACATGGGTTTCCCAACGACAAGCGACACAAATGTATTTTCAGAATGGTTCTCACTTATATGCTCTCCTTGATGACATGTATTAAACCATCAATATGTTAGAAGTTTCTACTTAAACCCATTGTTGGTGTATAAGCTGAACAGTGTTCATGGCACTTCATGTCATATAAGAAGGCTGCATGCTTTCTCCAAGTGCCCTCAAGGCAAAGTTGTTAATGTCTGCAAAAGCGTTGGGAGGCTAATTGCAAAACTCAGCAAAGCAAGAATTTGGTCACTGCATGTCTCCTCAGAAGATTAATGAGGGAGATTTCCCATTACAGCAATATATAACTTAGAGCATATGATAAAACTTTATCTACACGATGCATAGGGGTGGCACCCATGGCACAGAAAGAAAAGTAGAAAATAATGTATTAAGTTATTTTGAGCTAGATCGAAATGTTAATATATTCCCTCCCAGTTTCTTCTCTATGGATTGAATTATGATAATCATACCATAAAGGAGAAAATAGCTTTTCTGGAGAATTTTGAACTTTTTTGTTGAGTGCAAGTAGAAACTTGCATCACAGGACTACTTACTCTTAAGGCAAAATACAGTCATTTGGAACTGTTTTAAACGGACAAATATGAGCTAACTGACCTTTTCACTCATCATGCCTTGCTTTAACCTGCATACCATCAAAATAGATATACCTCACATAACTACTTGCTATTTCTCCTTTGGTTTAAACTGAATTGACCACAGCTTTTTTGAGAAGTTGGACTGCATGTGAAAAACAGGTCAAGTGGTAGCTGTAGAAATGACTCCAGGTACAAAAGTTTTCATTACATGAAGCCTCAGATTCAGGGGTAGTGATCTATCAAATATATTTTGTTTGTGTATATTATGGCTTTTTGCCCAAAGGACTTGGAAGTGGTTTCAGAGACTGGGCAGACATGCCACAGGGGACTGAGAAGGGACTTTGGTCATAACATTTTGAGGCAACCGATGCTGGGACTTGAAGCTGAGACTAATAGCCTTCTTAAGCATTATAGGACCTTGATCTTCCAAAGTTGGACAAATTCGCACTAAATGCACACCATCAGCCAGCTCCAGGACTCCTTACTGGAATTTATTTTACTCAAAATTTGAAGAATAATATATGATTATTAATTATAAGCTCTATGTTCCAGTAGATTTCTAGGACTTACTCATCTTGTGTAACTGAAAATTTATACCCTTTGACTAATTTGCCAAGAGGGTAGCTCTTATGTTAAGTTGTCTTATCCCTCAGATTATAATAATAATGATGAAGACAGGAGGAAACTTTGGGAGCTGCTGGATATGTTTTTGGCATATTGTGGTGATGGTTTCATGGATGTATACTTAACTCCAAATTCAGCAAGTTGTATACATCAAATATGTACAGCTTTTTGTATGTCAATCGCACTTCAATAAAGTGGTTTAAAAATTATTTTTAAAGAAGAGATTATTTCCAAGTGAGATTGTCAGTCTTGACATCCAGATCCCCAAAGCAATTATGTCAGGAACATGGAATAGAAAGTTCAAAAGACATATTGGAACCAGAGATTAGAATAGTCTGTAGAGATAATTATAGTTTATATAAATAGCTATCTCTATCTCTATCCATCAATCTATATCTAGTATACATATGGCCTTTACTGAGAGCTAATGGAAACTAAGCTGCAAAGTACAACATATGCCTTTTCTGTATCAAGAAGTAAAACTTGGAAGATACAGGGGTTCCAGATACTTAAGATTGAAGGAGTCAATCCATTCTTGTCTTTGTTTAAAAAAAAAAAGTAAATTCTGGAGGAAAGGAAGCGATTTTTTGAAAATTTGGGTTTCTTGCAGGCGGAGAGACTTAACACCATATTGCACA